ACCTCTTGATAGTTGACTTGGTCAAATTGACCAAGCCAGACCCCAAGACCCTCTCCAATAGGTTCAGTGGGTCAGACCCAACCTACTGGACCTAGTCTTGGGCCTTGGGTCAACCTAGTTGACCAAGTCAACCAGGGTTGACCACCTAGCCCATTAAGAGCTCAAATCAATTTTAAATTATTTTAAATTCTTTCTTGAGCTCGAGCCTCCTCCCCATGGACCTAATTGACTGATTTGACCAAGTCAAATGTTGACTTGGTCAAATCAGGTCATAGATAGGTCATAATAGCCTATTTTATTGCAATTAAGACCTAATTAATGGGAATTAAAACCTCCCCTTGATTTGAAATTGGAACCACGGCCTCTCTTGCTCTGAATTCCCTCCAAATCAACTCTTGATTAGATCTAGACCGTTCCCTTGGACTCCATCCGTTTAAATACCCAAAAATTAGGTCAAGGGATGGATCTTTTTGCAATTGCTCTCTCTCCAGACTTCCACAGACTCTAAAATCTCTTGTGGGAGTTCCTGGAGTTCCCCACGACCTTCCCCCACCGAATCCCGACGAATCCCACTTGCCGACGGCAATTGCTCTCTCTGCAGACTTCCATCAATCCCAGTTGCCTTACTTTAAGTCTTCAGGACTATTAAAAAATTATTTTTATGATATATATATATATATATATATATATATGTTTAAATATTTGGTTACTTTTTAATAATTATAATAATACTTTAAACTGAGAAGTGAAGTGGGGCCACATCCGGATGGTGACACGTGGGAACTGTCCGGGGAGTGAAAGCAACTTGGATGGGCCGCACACGCACGTAGGCCTTCGGATTGGTTCAATCATCAGGACACGACAAGGCCGAGCACCGACAAGATTCCGGATCACGCGCCACACGCTGGAGCTTGATCCAACGGTGCAAACATGGCCACGTGGATACCTTCTTGTTTAGATACTATGCGACCGTGTAGGATACCGGCGACCAATCACGTCCGTTGAAATCTATGATGCCGAGAAGGGAAAGCTTGCTGGAGCTCTACGCCAGGATTAAAAAAGAAAATATAATAACATAATTTTCATTAGAATAAATTCTAAAAATATAGATTTTCATAATTAATACTGTTTTAAATAATTTATATTGAATTAATTTTAAAATTCAAGATCATGTGAGTTTGAGTTTAACAAATTAATAGTTGAATTAAGCGTATCAACGAGATGAATATGATTGATCTGAATCATTTTGAAAACATGTAAATTTTAATTGAAGAACAAAAAACCAAGGCTTAGGGTAGTTGGTCGGTGAGAATGATTTGGGAACCCCCATCTCAGGTTCGAATCCCCTTTATTACCGCCTTGCTTCTTCACTGAGACAAAGTAAGTGTGAGCTCGATGCCGGTGGATGGTCTCGCTAGATTCCACCGAGGGATTAGTTACACTACCAAGCACTCCATTTGGAGTGGCAGCTTAGATATTCCCATTCCAAAAAAATAGAACAAAACGTGTGTTTCTACTCAAATCAAGCAGCTCGATGAGACAAATCTATCAAGTAGAAGATTATTTGATTTTGATATCATTAATACATTTAAATATTTGATAAATGATATATGACAAAAAGGTTAATATAAGCTCTACGATATAGTGTTCGGAATTCTGGCCTAATTTTTCATAACAACCTTTTAAAAAAATCTATAGATATGAAGAGAGATTTGATGAACTCTATTACATATTCTAGCAAATAAGACTAATAAGCACCACCATCATCGCCGCTACAATCACCACAATGCTATTTTAATATTAATATACAACCCTATATTTTGATTTTAATTGCTTGATATATGAATATATGATTTATGTAATCCCTAAAATGAGAATAAGATAATTTTTGAGAAAGGAAGGATTATTTATCGATGGTTTATAGGCCATTGAAATGATATCAATGATTTCATGGGCTGGTGGTGCATCCATTTACTTAATTAGCCCAATTAAATAAATAAGTTGGAACTTTGGGCCCAAAAGTCACAAGTACTTTCTAGATTTCATAAGTTTTTTAATGTTATTTCTGAAATTTTTTTATGAATGGCATAAAAAAAATCTCTCTTTATTTATGAGGATCATTTAGTATCACCTTCTTTTTATTTTATTTTGCTTATTATATTTTAATATAAAATAAAAACATGTTGAAAATTCAAAATAAATATTATTTTTAATTCTATTTTTATTAAATATTACATAAGACAGATTAAGCAAATAAAAATTTTAATTGAAAACGACAATAATTTTTATTCAATATAAACACCTAAAATTCAACTACAAATTATTTTAAGTATTTTCAAAAAATAATTTTATATTCAAAAATAAAATATTTAAAAATATGAAGTAAATATCGCCTTAGAAAAATATAGAGTGATCCCAAGTGGGCATTGTTTGAGATGATTTTCATTTAGAAAATATAAACAACTGAAAATCAATAAAAATTATTTTAAGAGTTCTCACAAAAAAAGAGCTAAAAAAGATTTTTTTTAAAAAAATATATTTAAAAAACTTAAAACATTATCTAAAATAAAATAATAGAAAATGATTCCAAGAGCAAAACACTATCATAATATAAAAATAATAAAATTAATTATATATAGGCAGATATATTTATTTTAAATCGAACTTCCTTATCTTAGCCGCATGTAACAATGAACTCTGTAACGTTTTTTAATGCATAAATAATAAAATAAGAAATTAATAAAATAGCTTATCATGAGAGGTGTTAGGTGTGGGGAAGAATAAATTTAAGCCCATTTTTTGTTTTAAAAAATATTGTAGCTGTTTATTTGCCCCTATTCTCCAAACCTCAAAGCTAAATTATTAAGACCTATTTTTTTAACCTAATCTTGCTTTAAGTTGGTTAATTATGTGCTAAAAATTTATAATGATAACAATTTATAATGTTATTTTTTAAAATACTTAAAACAATTTGTAGCTGAAATTTTTGAGAAAGTAGCAAAAGAGAGTGATAATAGATTATAGATAAATGATATCAATTGGATAATGGTGATCACACGATGATATTCAGATAACGGTGGTAGGATATAGATTAATTGAATGATGGACAATAGATTGTTACGATTGGGTAGCGATGGCGATGACTGAGGATGGATAATCGAACGAATCATAATAAGTCATTTGACTATTGATTTTAGTGTTTCAAGTTTAATATTGGATCAACGGAAATTATTTAAATTCAAACTTGCTCAATTTATGAAGCAACTTTTTAGTACTAACAAACTGCTTCATTAAGCTATAAAAAAGTTGTCACAAACGAAGACTTGAAATCATATATGATGATATCAAAATCCGATGTTAAAGATATTTACGACTTTATTGTCATAAAAAAATATACAATTAAAATTGTTCATAACCCCATCCAACTTAATCACACAAAATATAATCATTAAAAAAAAAACTTTAAAAGTTAAAAATAAAAAAAAACCATAAAAAATTGGTCAATAATGTTGCTCGTGATCAAGATTTCAAGTTAGGAATGAAAATATATATTCTTCAGCTTTAAGGTGTGTGAAAATTGCAAATAGCAATCACCAAGACAAGCCGAGGGATCTAAAATTTCTTGTGTGAAATCTAATAATATCTAATGTGCAAACAATTTTCTTCCTTGGATTTCAAATACAAAAAATGCATACTAAACATATGATTGTTGAAGTGCATGAATGCATCGGGCTTGTTATATGATAGAAAAGCTCCCCTCAAATATAAGGGAAATTTTTATTAGATGGTGATGAGACATGCAATGCTTTATGGTGCCAAATGTTGGCCATTAAAAGAGAAGCATAATACTAAGTTAAGTGTTGCAGAGATGAGAATGCTCAAGTGGATGTGTGGCCTTACTCTTATAGATGGAATATGAAATGAGAATATACGTGAAAAGATTGGAGTAGCTCTACTGGAAGATAAGATTAGATAGAGTCATCTTAGATGGTTTGGTCACATAAAATGACAGCGTTCTGATGACCCAGTTAGGAGAGTAGAGATATTAGATTTGACTTATGTTAAGAAAGGTAGAAGTAAACCTAAAAAGATTTGGTTAGAAAATATTAGAAATGATCTTTTTTTTTTATTTAAACAAGAATTTGACTTTTAACAAAACACAATGGAGAAAAAAGATTAATGTAGCCGACCCCACATAGTGGGAGAAACGCTTGATGTTGTTATATTTCTTATGATTTCCTATTTAAGTAGATAATAGTAGAAGGGTGGCTGACTACATAAAAGAAATAACATAAGGAATTGATTTGTTTTGTTCTAATTTTACTTTTTTTTTTCTTTAATAATACCAACTCCCTCAAGTCATGATTATTCAATAAGTTGTACACTGACTGTCCACTACCTAACATAACCCTTCACTTTTCTCATCTAGGACTTAGGACTTGGCAACTACATATTTAAATAAGAATTTGACTCTTAACAAGACACAATGGAGAAAACAAAGATTCATGTAGCCGACCCCAATAGTGGGATAAAGGCTTGATGTTATTATTGTTGTTACTGCAGCATAACTACTCCCTCAAAATCCTACAGATGGTGTCTATGTGCCAAAGTGCCTCCCAAGACCTACACAAGCACCATCCTCTTTTATAGTTATTCAATCTCCTAAGCCAATCTAGATCACCAGAGAGAAAGTATAAAGTTATGTCCTACTAAAACTGTAACGTTTACATACGAATGAAGTCTAACATTAAAAAAAAAAAAAGAAAGAAAAAACCAACGCTTTTATAAGCTACTATAGCAATAAGGTCAAGTTATGTGACTAAACAATAGCAAAGTAGAGCTCTGCGTACATCTAAGTTATGAAAGACAATTTCCAAGAAAAACATTTCCTACAATTTCCTATACTTTATAATTAGTAATAGATTCATGGGCATTAAAATTTAGCCATATAGAGTAAATGCTTCTTTCTTCAAGAAAATTAATCCTACAAGCATACCAGCATTTTTATATCCTGTCGCAAAGGGGCTCATTGAGCTTGCCTGGTAATCTCATTCCCAGCCACAAGAAAGAACGCAGTATGCCTATAAATGGAAGATCAAAACGAATAAAAAAAAAATATTTTGCATGCAAATACTTTGATTTATTTCAAGTTTTAACACAGCCAAAAAATCAAGAAAATTTTTTGAAGTAAAGAGAATAAACACACCTGAAGAAATTCATCATTTTGATTTTTGAATCGGGGTCAATGGTTGGGGTAATATCTAATGCCTGCTGCATATGGTGTAACCACCTCTCTGCTGCTTGATGAGTAACAGGAAATGGACGATGGCGCCCAATTAGGGCAGGATGGCCTGCAAATGGAGAAAAAATGTCTTCTAAAGTTATATGAAGAAAAATATTTTCTTAGGAAATAAAGAAGTATAAAAACATGCAATGCAGTGCAAGTCTACCCTTATTCACGAATTATTTAGTGCATCATGTGATTATCCTCATTTATATTCAAGTCCCTAAGCCCTCGTGGTTGGCTAAACTCTAAAGCTGCCCATTTGGGTTTCATTACGGGTGTCAAAACAAGTTGACGGGTCTGATTTAGGTCCAACCAGAGTTGACCCGGATTCAAACGGGTTGACACTAACCCGACCCGGTTTTGCAACGGGTCAGGATTGTGAACCCGGACCCGACCTGTGCGGGTTACTGGGTTGACTCGACCCGACCCGCGAGGGTAGCAATCACTTGCTCGTGGCACAGGCGCACAACGGGCCCAGCCATTTGCGGCTCTGTGCTACAAGAGCCAGATGTTCTACAGGAAGAGCCAGTGCGGGCGGGACGGCGGAAGCGGCAACGCGGGTGGCGGGGCAGGACGGCGGCAGGCCGGCAACACAACTCAAACTCGATGCGAGTGACGCAACGACGCAGCGACCGAGTGATGAGACAGGTCACGTGGGATGTTACAAACGGGTCAACACGGGTTGGTTTCCGAGTCAACCCAAACCTAACCCGATTTTAAAAATGGGTCGGAATTACAAAACTGAACAGACCCCGTATGACAAACGGGTTAACCCGAACTCAAAATTTTCAGGGACGGGTTCAGGCTAGGTTTCGGGTCGTGTCATATTTTGTCACCCCCTCGGTTTCATGTTAGGGTAATGGCGTGTAGAGGGATTTAGAGCATGGATCCACCTAGAAGTGTTAGAGAAATATTATGAGATATATTGTCATTTTTCGTGAAAAATTCAAAAGGTTTATGGAAGTGTGAAGGAACCTAGACTAAATCTTGGTCAAAGTTCCTAATTTTGGCTAGTATTAGAATATTGGGTTCAGGGAAGATCCTAATGGTGAATGTAGGGGTTGAAAAGGCCTTCAAGAGTTTGGGGAATTTGTGGAGATCACATTTAAAGCATTTGGTGAAGATTCAAGTGATTTAGAGGGTGATAGAGATGAGAGGACCAAAGTTATGTCACTAGAAGACCTAATGTGGCTGATTGCTTATGAAGAAGTGTATAGCTATTAGTAGTGGGGCCATGATAATCAACTACTCCATGTTTCGCATCAACTCCCCTACGTTCATTTAAAGTTTGCTCTGCAGGTTAAAATCCAATTATTCAACAAGCTCAGGTGCTAGCTTCTTTAAGTCTTTCCTAATGACTATATATCCTCAGTAGGTGGAAAACTCCCATCTGTCAAAAGCCGGTGATCCTCATATTGATTTGTAGGCACTATGAAACTGAAATAACTTACCTTAGCCATCCATTCTATATAGATGTCCATTGCATTTGCCTCATTTCACCGGGAGAGAAGAAAGGGAGGATGAGAAGAGAAGGTAAGAAGGAGAGAGAAGAGGGATTCGGGAATCTTTAGGCCGATTCTGTCAGTCAGATCTATTAAGAAAATTATTCATTTCAAGGTAAGCTAGCGTTATCCTACTATAGTTTTCGATAATTTTGATTTCTGTAGGATTTCTAAAATTTATTTGGTTAGAAATAGTAAAAGGCACAATCTTGATTTCTAGTAAACTTTGATCACGTAACAATTAGTATGTTATAAATCTGCTCATTCTGCATCTATTGACATGATCATATTGAATTTTTATCAAATATTTTGTAACGATTTAGTCATGGACCATGGTTGGACAATATTAGACATCAACAATACATCTTTAATCAAATAAATTACAAACTAAATAGTTTATACATATGTAATAAGCACTAATTTATTTTTTATATTTTATTTTAAATTTGTGTTAGGTAGATCGATTCTATATTACAAAATTAATTTATATTATGAACTTGGTCTACCTAAGCATTATAAATACCCCTCCTATTGTAAGAAAAGATTATGTAATGAATAATTTATGATCTCTCCCTTTCTAGTCTCTTCTTCCTTAAGGAGCCCATAGCCACTCATAAGGTGCAAAAGAATAACAAATAATGCTCTCGTTGCCCTAAAGACAAATCCTCACCTCCTCTTTCTGTTGTTTAGCAATCCCCATCCAGTCATCCACCAGCCAGCCCTCTTTTCCTCTACAGCCAGCTACCGTGCTACCTTCAGCCTAGCCAGAAGCCTATCTTCTTTCAACCGTCCCCTATTTTTCTCAAGAACCCATATTTGTCAACGACGAATAGCACACCACGGCGCAAAGTTCCCCGTGGACTGGAGCCATGGCGCATAACCCATGGCATGGCGCGCGTCATTTTAAACACAATGCAGAATAAAAAAAATAATTATAAAAATTGTTATATGGATCCTATTTAAGAGTATCAATCAAGTTGGGTAAGGCTGGGTTGAATATGTTTGTAGTTCAAAGTCCAAACCATTAAAGTGAGCTTCAAGTTCGTCCGAAATTTCTAATAAAATAAAGTTTAAATAAAGTCTAATAAAACCTAACTAAACTATTTTAATCATATCAAATAATTTTAAAATTAATTATTACATTATTTGAGAAATTAAAATATATAAATATTAAAAAAAAAACTATTTATAATTATATTAAAAAATCCATAAAATTCAAATTGCACGCGTCGTGCACCATTGCGCCATGCGTCATTGAGCACACATGGCGCAAATGGCGCGCGCCAACTTGAACATGTGTGTTGCACCATACAGTTGGCACCGTAGATGTGCCGCACAGTGCAATGAGCCATGGTGCACGCCATTTTGTGCCATTGACAAGTATGCAATAACCAATCTCCATTTCAGCACATCTGCCATAACTTGCTGCCCTCCAAGAATCTACCATACGTTGTTCTTTTCAGCAAATAAAAACCAGCCAAGGGAGCTAGTCCCTTCACTTCCTTCTTCACACAGGCCGGTATTCTGATGGCAGGAAGAAGAGTCGAGTTGTTGGAAGATAAGTTGGAAGTAGAAATAGGTCAACTATGTGGGATCGATGAATGAACGTATTTCAACAATAGAAGGAAGGTGATAGGAAACACTTGGTTTGCAAGTGACCCTAATCCAAAACAGTAAAAATACAGCAGCAATTTGCTGTCCCCAGCAGAAAAAACAGCAGGAATATAGGGAAAACAGCTCGAAAACACAAGTAGAAGGCTTGTATTTCACTAGAAGATGAAAATAGCATGACATGCCGAGGGAAGATGGAGAGGTGAAAATTTTAGGAGGGGAGGAGGAATTATCACACTTGGAGCCTCTACCAAGAAGGGGGTATTACTGTGAGAACAAGCATGATGAATTTGGAGAAAGTAGGGAATATGAATGGAAAAAGGAGGAGAGAGAGCCGTGAAAAAACCCCAATGCTCGCAATCATGGGAGGCATGGGGCGGAAGAAAACATTGGGGCGAGGGGATAGAAGATTAGGAAGCTTAAAATGTCTGTATTTGAAAGAGAATATGCGCATGGGTGGATACATAGGGTGGAGAGATTCTTTGTAGTGAACGGGTTGATAGAAGATGAGAGATTGATGGTCGCAACTCTGTCTTCATAGGAATGCACTGGCATGGTACCAATGGAACTCAATCCGTTCGTGGGAGGAGTTCAAGGAATGTTTGTTGGAGCGCTTTCAAGTCTAGCAGGATGGGGATTACTGTGAGCAATTTTTTGCAATGACACAGGTCGACAGTGATAGAGTACCGGGAAAGATTTGAGCTTCTTTCAGGACGAGTAGGGAGGTTATCAGATACAATGTTGGAAAGTAATTTCATGAAAGGCCTCAAACCAGAGTTGAGGGCAGCAGTGCGGGTGGCAAGGCCCCGTGACTTAAGAGACGATGGACTTAACTCAGATGATTGAAAACAAGAAATCACTGCATAAGAGTAGTTAAGGGATTAGTTGACAAGGCTCTTATCACACAACGATCACTTTCTTGGCACCTAAGATGATGCAGACTATACCAGTTAAAAGTGAGACTCCAAAATAGGGCGGTTCAGAAGTCCGATAGGGAGGGGATTTCAAGAGGCTGACTGATATTGAATTACAAGACAAGAGAGCTAAGGGGCTATGTTTTAGATGCGACGAGAAATTTACACCAGTAAAAATCACACCTTATAAAATCTCATTGTGTTTGATGGGGAGGAGGTGGACGAGGAAGAGGCAATGAGGGAGGAGGAAGAGGAGGAGGAGCCCGTGCATTTCGAGGTAGCGGAAGTTTCATTGAACTCTGTAGTGGGATTCACGTCGAATCACACTATGAAAGTGAAGGGGAAATATGGGAGGAAAGGCAGTGGTGATCCTGGTGGACAGTGGGGCTACCCACAATTTCATATCGAACCAGATGGTAGAAAAACTGGTAGATACAGGAGGATTTGGAGTGATGATGAGCTTAGAAAAGGTAGAGAAGAGAAGAGGGATATGTCAAGATTTGGTGGTAGAGTTGCAAGGAACTCGCATTAGGGAGAATTTCCTTCCATTAGAATTAGAAAGTACTGATTTGATTTTGGGAATGAAATGGCTACAAATATTAGGGGAGACTAAGGTGAATTGGAGGCATTAGCCATGAAGATCTAGGTGGAGGGGAGATAATTGATAATTAAGAGAAACCCCAGCTTATCCAAGGCAATGGTTTCTTTGAAAACCATGGTTTGTGCCCTACAAGGGGAAGGAGGGGAATTCTTGGTAGAGCTCCAAAGTCCGAAGAGAGGAGAGACAGAGCATGGAGAGGACATTCCAAACATTGTCCAGCCCCTTCTTCAGCAGTTCAGAGAGATATTTCAGCTTACCCAGGGATTACCACACCCACGGGATCACAAGCACTCTATTGTTTTGAAGGAACAAGTCTCCCCCATTAGTGTCCGGACATATCGCTACCTCAAATCCAAAAGGAAGATATTGAAAAACTGATTCAGGAGATCTTGAAGCTGAAATTATCAAGCCTAGTGTGAGCCCTTTCTCTAATCCA